CGTCCTCCTCACCATCATCAGCAGCAGCATCATCGTCATCTTCATCCTCCTTATCCTCAGCAGCATCGGGATCCTCATACTCGTTCTCCTCGTCATCATCATCATTGACCTCATCATCCGCAGCAGCATCATCATCCTTATCATCAGCAGCAGCATCATCATCACCATCATCAGCATCAGCATCAGCATCATCAGCATCAGCATCATCCGCATCATCGTCCTCCTCGTCACCATCATCATCATCATCATCATCAGCAGCATCATCATCATCATCATCCGCCCCTTCCTGGTCAGCATCCCCCTCCTCCTCCTCCTACCACGCCTAATCATCATCATTCGCCGCCGTCTCTTCATCATCGGCATCATCATCATCGTCATCCTCTTCATCATCGTCCTCCTCATCTTCGTCATCCTCCCCGCCTCCTCATCGTCATCCTCCCCCTCCTTGTCATGCGCGCCGTCCCCATCCGTCTCCTTCTCCTCCTCCTCCTCCTCCCCCTCCTCATCCTCCTCCTCCCCATCATCATCCCCGTCTTCATCATACTCATCCTCCTCGTCTTCCTCCTCGTCATCACGATCAGCATCATCATCCTCATAAGCATCATCGGCATCACCATCAGCACCAGCACCAGCATCATCATCCGCCTCATCCAACCTCCTCCTCCTCATTGTCATCATCGTCCCCCTCATCTTCCTTCTCCCCCATCCTCATCCCCATTCGTCCTCCGCCTCCTCCTCCGCCGCGTCGTTATCTTCCTGCTCCTCATTCACCGTCGCCTCGTCCTCCTTACCCTCATCTGCCTACGCATCATCGTCATCAGCATCAGCATCATCATCATCATCCGCATCATCCTCATCATCAGCTTCCTCATCCATCTCCTCATCGTCCGGCTCGTACTCTTCTTCCTTATCATATTTCTCCTCGTCCTCCTCCGCATCAGCATCATCATCAGTATCCTGAGCATCCTCAGCATCATCATCATCCGCCTCTCTCTTATCCTCACTCAGCACCCTCCTTATCATCCTCCTCCTCAGCCTCCTCCTCGTCCTGCTCATCGTCTTCCCTCTCCTCCTCCACCACCTCCTCCTCATCGTAATATCATCCTACTCATCCTCCGCGTCCTCCTCCTCATCCTTCTCATCTGCTTCCTCCTTCTCCTCCTCATCCTCCTCCTCATCATCCCCATCCTCCTCATCCTCCTCCGCCTCGTACCCCTCCACCTCAGCATCGTCGTCATCATCATCATCATCATCATTATCAGCAGCAGCAGCCGCACCAGCATCAGTAGCATCATCATCAGCAGCAGCATCAACAGCTGCCCTCTGATCCTCCTACTCGTCCGCCGCGTCATCCTCATCCTATTACTCCTCCTCCTCCTTCTCCTCCTCCTCCTCCGCATCTGCCTCCTCCTCCTCGTACTACGGCCTACGGCTCCTCATCGTCAGTTTCCTCCTCATCATCCTCCTCCTCTGCCTCCATCTCCGCAGTATCCTCATCCTCCTCTTCCACCTCCTACTCCTCCTTATCCTCCTCCTCCTCGTCCTCATCCTCCTCCTCCTCCTCCGCCTCCTCCTTCTTATCCTGCTCCTCCTCATCCTCCTCGTCCTCCCCCTCCTCCTCCTCCTCCGCCTCCTCCTCCTCCTCATCATCATCATCATCATCATCAGCATCATCATCCTCCTACGCTACATCCCTCTCATCATCTTCCTCATCATCCGCCTCCTTCTCCTCAATCCCCCCTCATAGTTATCCCCATTGTCCTCTTGTTCCTCGTCCTCCTCTTCCTCCTCCTCCTCCTCAGCCTCCTCCTCATCCTCCTCCCCTCATCATGTTATTCCTCCTCTTCCTCTTCATCCTCCTCCTCCTCCTCCTTCTCCTCCTCCTCCTCCTCATCCTCATCCTCCTCCTCCCTCCTCCCTCCTCCTCCTCTTCCTCCTCCTCCTCCTCCTCCTCCTCTTCATCCTTCTCCTCCTCCTCCTCCTCCTTCTCCTTCTGCGCCTCTTCTTCATCCTCCTTCTCAGCATCATCCGCATCATCCTCCTCGTCCTTCTCATCCGCCTCATCATCATCAGCAACATCAGCGTCATCAGCATCATCATCATCATCATCAGCAGCATCAGCATCAGCATCAGCATCATAATCATCATCGGCATCATTATCATCATCTTCATCATCGTCATCATCAGCATCATCATCATCCCCCCATCCTCCTCTTCCTTATCTTCCTCATCGTCATCATTATGGTTATCATCCTCCTCATTATCATGCATGTCCTCCTCACCCCTCCTCCTCCGCCTTATCCTCATCCCCATTATCATCATAATATTCAGCATCCGTATCATCAGCATCATCAGCATCACCATCATCCTCATCATCCTAATCATCATCAGCAGCATCAACAACATCAGCATAATCAGTATCATCAGCATAAGCGTCATCCTCGACATCTGTAGCATCATCAGCATCATCAGCATCAGCATCATCAGCAGCATCATCAGC